CTTGATGCATCGGTGCACTATGAATATGCATCGATGCACTCTGCCCAGAATCCTCTTTTTGAACCCGAAAATTCATTCTTTTTGGATTAAATCCTTCATATTTCAACCCCTTTCATATTCCTAACTTACATATACATACTTATACTCATTAATATTCATTTATCTCATCTTTAACCTCAAAATTCCATCTTTCATATGGAAATCAATAATCATACCCAATTTTCCATGTTATCCAAACTTAATTCTAACTCTTCTAACTTCTTATTCTTATAGATAACAAGTCAAATTCATCCTCCAAATTCATTTAAACCTTCTTATTCAAAATTTCACTTAAAACCCCATTTTCTTTAATCTATTCTAACATCTTCATCTTTGAGTTTTCACTTATCTTTAGACTTCTTTAAGCTTTCTTACTTTCCAAAGAATCAAAACCAACTTAGAATTCAAATAATAATCAACTAATAAAAATTCTCACCTTTGCTCTTTGCTTCCACGCGTGAAGAAGAAAGGAAGAAGAAAACTCTGGAAACTCATTTCCCACGTTTTTTATATCCCCTAAAAGAGAAATAAAAATCTTCTCTTAGAAAAGACCATAATACCCTTATTACTTTCAAACTTTACTATTAAATCCATCCTCAAAATTCTCCAATTAAAATTCTAAACTTTTAACTTATTTCGAAATTGAACACAATGCTTTCAAAATTCACCTTTAGGTCACTAGCCTGATATTGAGGATGTTACATGGCATGCCAAGAGTAGAGGGTCTACGTTGTCTTTTGGGACATATATGTATTCTTTGGAACATGTGTGAGGTCTTTTGAGACACATACTTGATCCTTGACATATGTATATGATTCTTAAGGAATTATCTACGTGGTCCTTAGGGACAATCTTATATGGCACTACGGTGCAATTCTATGCGGTACTTTGGTGCAATTCTACGTGGCACTTTGGTGCATTTATACAAGCTGTGGTGACAACATAGTGCACAACCTCACAGTACTCATATACCTTAGGTTCTCAGTATGGTATCATGGGCCAATAATCTTATTAATACGAATTCATGAATGTTAATATATTATGCTTACAGGTAAGGATCATGGTGATATAAACTGCATGGTTAAGTATTTGATTTCATCTCATTCCATTTTATTATGGCATTTCCATTACATTTCTTTGTTGTCATTATTATTATATTGCCTCACTAAGTCGATGATTTAGCGTGTGAGTGTTTCACACGTAGGATTCGAGAAAGTAAATGAGACAGGTTAAGCAGCTGGACAACACTACTCCTGCAACTATCAGATCAGAGGCAACTTAATCAGTAAGTCCTTTTGGTATGTAAATTAATGTTGGCATGTAATCAAAGGGTCACTTGCCCAATAGAGGCTTCATATTGCATCCGGGAGCTCGTAGCTTAACCGCCTTGCTTCCAACAAAAAAAAAAGTCCCAATAAGTGAAGAGGAAGAATAGTGAAGATGAAAAATAACTCTTGAAAAGAAGAAGAAGAAAAGTCGAGGAAAGTTGAAGAAAGAAGATGTTTTTAGGTGAAAGAGAATTTGTTCAGTAAATTGTTCATCAAGACGGTAAGACGGTTGAATTCCAACTTATTAAGTTTGCATTCTTTGTTTGATCAACTCTCTAATATAACAAGTTCATTTTGAAGAAAATTAAAAGGTTGAAAAGTAGGGTGAATGTTAGAGTGTTATTAGTTTGTTATTAGCTTGTTATGGTTTGCTTGTTATTAGTTTGTTATGGTTTGTTATTAGCTTGTTATTAGTTTGTTATGGTTTGTTGGTTACTTGGGCTATATAAGTCATCCTTTTTGTATTAGGTTGTAAGCAGTGTATTTTCTCGTTGTTAATAAAAAACTTCTTCTATCACCTCTTCCTCTTACCGTCTTCTTCCTCATCTGCCTCTTACTGTCTTCTTCCTCATTTGCTAACTCAGGCCACTGTCCTTCCATCACTCTCAGACTCCATGGCTGCATTCTCACAGTGCGAAACAAATAGTCTGAACTCATTTACATATATGACATTCAGATGAAAGGAACAAAGAACTTCAAATTAGTTATTCTTAATGATCTAAAACTATTACAGACATGTTCATGGCTTCAATAATTTACCCAGCCTTGAAAATTTTAAATCCACAAAAATTACCAGGAAGAAAAAAACACATAGTAGAGATAAAACCAAGAACCCAGAAAGTAAAACGTGAAAATTTCTAAGAAACAAATCCGACCCAGTTCAGAAATCTAAGCAAACAAACCAGTGAAACTCAAATTCTTCGAAACAAACACAGAACAAATCATGAAAATTTCGTATAAAGGAAATCGAACGAGGAAAATGTAGTTTCTGATTCAATCGGGAAAGCTTTCTACTAAAGGATGGAAAGGGCTCCAAAGACATCGACGGAGAGAGTATTAGAAGGCTGTGAAACGAGAGAGACGAGAAGCTAGAAAAAAATTGGTTGGGACGAAAACAGGGAAACAGAAGAATCTGAAATTACAAAAGAAGTAATAAATATTTTTTGTTACCTGAGAAGATGATCGTTGACCTCAATAAACGTCACCGGTGAGCAGTCGATGGTGGTGTTTGATCAGACAGTTTTGGGTATCAGCTTTAAAGGTAAAGCTGGAAAATGACTTACACTTTTACAGACCGTAAGTTGTTTTACGGGATAAGGGGCCATTTTCCTTTGACCGGGAAAATATTTTCCTTTGGCCAACCACTTTTACATGAACTAAACAAGGGAAAATAGGGAAAATAATTTCTGTAAATTGTTTTCCAAACAAACAGACCCTTAATTATTTTTTAAAACTTTAAAGAAACTATTAATTATTTTTTTGTTTAACTGATGTTGTTATTTGCTATGGGACAAATGGGTTAAATATGTAGTTACAGTTTATCCTTTCTGATTTGAATGTAGAGTCGCGAGCAATAGATTTTTAATCGTTGACCGGTAATTATTATGATGATGAGATAAAGAGATGAAGAAAGATTATTCAAGAGAGAAAAAGATCTCGGAGATTTCAGAAGAAAGTCGTTAACAGTTCACCCTTCTTCTTCTAATAGTAATTTATATATTGACCTTTTATGTATGATAGTGTCAGGCCTGGAATTATCATTATCTAGACGTAGACCATCAGTCAATAGATTTAACATTGACAAATCTCTTGGGTTTATCAAAGTTCTTGTTAAGAGTTTTTGCTCGGTTGAAGAACTTCCTTCGTAAGAGTCTCTTCGGAGTTGGTTTTCATAAGTAGTTGGGGAGTTGTATCTTCGAACAAATTATGTCTCCGAAGGTATAACATTTTATCTCTCATAATATAGGAAATGTCATGGAGTGATTGACCGAAGACATAAGTGTATCTAAGGGGCGTTTGTTTACTTCAGAATGATTAAGCATTGAATGATTAAAATGTTGAATGATTCAGATGCTTTGTATGAATTAGCTCTGAATGTGACATGTTGTTTGATAATGGCTCTGAATCATTCAGAATGTACTTTGATGCTGAATCATTCAACACTGTTTTGTTGAATCAGTCAGCACTGAATCATTCAGAGGTGAGAAACAAACACATTGAATGTTGAACGGTTCAACATTCAGCGCTGAATGGTTCCATTCAGAGCCAAACAAACAGCCTCCAAGTTAATTAATGTTTTATGAATGTTTGCTAAAATAGTTATCATTATTCTTTCTATCTCCATAGGGCTTACTCGCATGTTGCCCTATTGTTAGCGTATACTAAAAGGTATGGATTGCGACTGTAGTTTTTCTTTTATTTAAAGGGTAAATCAGGGTACCCTTTTCCATTCACCTCTTTATTTCAAAGATTCAACTTCATTTTTGCTGAAATATTTGTAAAAGCTTACTTCCTAATAAAATGGAGAAAGGTGCCTCCGTGAAGGAAGAGGGGGCTTGAGCCAACGAGGTGGCAGAAGAAAATCAAGAAAGGATTTTGAATATGATGATTCGAGGGTTACTTCTTGTTAAAGATTACGAAGAGGAATCAATTGATAAGGTCTTGGTGAAATTTCAAAATTCGAAAAATATGAGAGATAAGTGTAAGTGTAACTTGATTCACACACTTGAAGTTACCTCCATTTCTCAAGGTATATCGAAACAATCCCCTAATATTTTGGGGATTCTTCTGACGAAAATTTATCATTTAACTCCTATAACCCTACTAGGACAACTCAGAAGGATTTTAAGGAACGTTGGAAGCTTTATATTATGAATGACATATACTTTTCCCAAAATACATGCAGAAATTTGTTTAAAAGAAGATTCAAGTGATCTTGTTATTAACTCGGAATATTCTATTGATAGTCCGCCGGTTTAACCTTTGTAACATGTGTTATAATAGCAAACCTTTATTTATCCTGTTTTTGCCTTTTGAATTATTTGTAGTTTAGTGGTATAAATAATATACTGCCCAAAATTCAGTGATATAGGATGTAATTTTTCCAAAAATAAAAGCTGATCCTGGTCAAATTAACCCTAACGTCCCTTTTGTTCAAAAGCAGGAGAGAAAAAACTCAGTGGCGGCGAATTTCGCTATAAATAAACACCACCTTTGCAACATCACGACCAAGTTCTTCCAAGGAAAACTCCACAAATCGTCGTAAGATCTCTAATATTTTACTCTGAAGCTATTTGATTTCTTCTTCTTCCTTCTTCCTTTTTGTGTTTAATTTCAATCGATATGTGGCGTAGGATTTAAAAATCCTCATCTATAAAAACGAGGCAAACTGAAATCGTGTTTGTAAATCTCGAAGATAACGCCATAGAAAAACGCTCGTTGACGTTGACGGTCCTCCCCTCCGGGGAGCTCCGCCATTGACGGGCAGTCTCATATTCCATCGCCTTGGGGAGCGGCGTCGCTGCTATTACCTCTTGGGACCGGCCATGATAAGAACATTCAATTCTTTACCCCCTTTCTTTTAAGATTTCGCAAATTTTCTTTCACTTGTTTTAAAAATATTATTGTAGAATGAGGCCGATGAGGAAAACAATTACAAAAAGAACACCATCTTTCGGGACTGAATGGCTTCATAAAGCCCTGCTGTTATTCTGCAGTTCTGAGGCCCTTTCAAGTGATAGTGGTTTTCGCTTACTCAAAAAAAGATGTTTTACCTGTTTCGTGCATTGATTATTATAAGGGTAAAGTATAGTAATAGTCACTGAACATTTCTGAAGCTTGCATTTAGGTCCCCCAACATTTAAAACTTGCAATACAGTCCCCCAATATTTATTCCGTTTGCAATATGGTCCCCCAACTTAAACCACAGTTAGAAAATTAGGATAAATTATATAAACGGTCATTGAACTTTTCAGTCACTTGAATTTAGGTCCTCCAACTTTTAAAACTTGCAAAACAGTCATCAATTTCATTCTAAACCCCAATTTCCAAAGTAATTTAATTTTATTCTAAACCCTAAATTCTAAAATACTTCAATTAAATTCTAAAAATACTTCAATTTAAGGTAATATAGGCTTGAAGAAAGAGTTCAAGGCACAGACACAACGAATAAAATATATTTTATAAATGTATATTTATATTAGATGTATAAATAAAAAATATATTATATATTAATTATAATCATTATATTTTTTTGAATTTATTTTTAATAAGAAATTAAAATTATTAATTATATTAGAAATACTCAACTTAAGATTATATATAATCATGAATTATAAATATGAAAAATATAATTATTAAATTTAGTTTAAAAATATAAATCTTAAATTTATTCTTTTAAAATATTGTATCAACTAAATTTAAAAAATATATTAAATCTATCAAACAATTTATCAAATATAATATTTTTTATTGTAAAAATATAATATTTTCCCATCATTTATTGCTTTCAAATTTTTTGCCGAAGTTCAAATCTCATTATTTCCATTTTACATTATATTCTTTTTTTTTCTGGCATTGATCTATTAGTATATGTATATTGTAATCTCTTAACACAAACGATGGTGTTAGCTTAGTGGCTCCACTCTGTATCTTTCATTTGCGTGACTCAGGTTTGAGTTTGCCCAAGACCCAAATTTACTTCTTTGTAACTTAATTTCTTCTAATTAGGAGGGTGACATGTGTCACCAATAACACATATCATGATCATGTGTTAACACATGTCAGATCCTGATTAATGATTAATTTATTAAATTTTATTTAATTTAGGACCAAATTGATAGCATATATAAATAATTAGGTGGTAACATGTCACCAATGACACGTGTCATGATCATGTGCTAACACATGTCAGATCCTAATTAAATGATTAATTTATTAAATTTTAATTAGGACCAAATTGATTAAAATAATAAAGACTGAATGTATAATAATACCAATTCCTTTTAACTGCCACATCATCATTTTATCAATTGGTAACGACTAGTGGCTTAGTGAAACATTAAATAATTATGTGGTATGATTGATAAATTTAAAAAACGATGACAAAAGTAAAAAGGGCTAGATAGTTAAGTTGTCAACCGAGTAGTTTACACTTTTATTTATACGTCAAAATAACATTTTATAAATTTAAAATTCGAATTATTTTCAACCTCTTCTATATCCTAACTACTTTTTTTAATTAAAAAATTTCTTCAACAGATAAGAATTATACTATATATTATATAAAAAATACGTATCACATGAAATAAGATAAAATTAAATAATAATAAATTGACATAATTGAATTTAATTTAAGTATTGGAATTTAGGGTTTAGAATAAAATTGAATTACTTGGAAATTGGGGTTTAGAATGAAATTGATGACTGTTTTGCAAGTTTTAAAAGTTGGGGGACCTAAATTCAAGTGACTGAAAAGTTCAATGACCATTTATATAATTTATCCTAATTTTCTAACTGTGGTTTAAGTTGGGGGACCATATTGCAAACGGAATAAATGTTGGGGGACTGTATTGCAAGTTTTAAATGTTGGGGGACCTAAATGCAAGCTTCAGAAATGTTCAGTGACCATTACTATACTTTACCCTTATTATAATTTTGCAGCTTCAAGTAATAGGTTTTATTTCTTCAAAATCTTCTTCAACAAATAGACCTTAATCGCTACTCTGATATTGTTTGCATTCCATCAGTACTGGTATAAATTTAGTGATTTATGAAAATGTTGAGTTTAAATGAGATGTATTGGTTTAATGTTTTATGATTCATTAACAAATGATTTTGCTAATTATATTTTTTTTGGTTTTATGATTTTTATAGATTTTTTTAATATATATTTTTAAAAATTGTAACTTTGACTGATATAGATATTCATTCCACAAATATCACGTCAAAGAATAGCAATTTAACTCATAAAAACAATCTTTATTAACAAATGAACATATATAACACAATTTAATCCGATACAAATAGACTAAGGAGTTGAATTGATCTTATTATCCGATAAAGTTAATTACATCACATGTCTTGAGAATATAACCCTCATTTTAAAGTGGTACCTAAATTTTTAAATTCCAATTTCATCCCTAAACTCTTACACCAAATTATCGGATTGGGTTCAAAACGTAACTGCAATTTTAATTTTCTTTTATATTTCAAGGGACTTGGTTAATATTATAATTTTGAACATAATAAATCTAAAATTTTAAGGAAAATAATTTATACTAATTTTAAAGGGTTAATAATTTCTCACCTCTGGTGTTCACATTTCCATGAATTTAAGGAACATATCAATTCACTACAAAAATGTTATTTTATACTTGTATGTCGCATTAAAAATTCTCTTAAAGACTGTTTTTCATCAACATTTATCAAAGTGAACGCATTATTTAAAATTTATTGTCGATAAAAATGTAAAAAAAAATTAAAAACTCTGGTTAAATAATTTCTGAATATATATTTTATAAGATTTAATTATTTGAAATAATTATGGTGGAAGTTTAAAAAAAATTAATAAAGCTTAATTAGGAAACATAATGAGTCTCAATCTATTGGGATTGGAAAGGGAGGAATATGGTTGAACCATAGGTATGCACAAGTGTAAAAGCAACAAAGAAAATGAGGATGGGAATCAAAAGCTTATTTAGGAACCCAGCAAGAACAAGGAGAATTATAAACTAATTAAATTCCTGTTCTATAATCAAAACTATTCCACTAGCCACAGGGAAGGAGGAGAGTATAATAGCATGATATTTCACTAATTTTCCTGCCTTCCACCCACACACAAAAACTTAAACCAGACAACATCAGCAAAAACGTTCAGACAAGTTCTCATATTACTAAAGCAAAAAAAATAAAATTACTGAGACACACCCAACCACTTCGAGAAGTTCTCAAACTCTGTGTAATCACTGTCGGATATCATAGTCTGATACCATGCTTTGCCTGCTGCTTTAATTGCCGTTGCCTCCTCCTGAAACACACATGGAGTCAAAAACACCAACATACCATTTGAAAATTCACACATTTACAACATTTATCTGAAAACTGCAACATATTAGAATAGGAACTTATATATCTTGCATTTGGCTTCATTATACATGTTCTTGAGTTGTGTTACCTTCATGTTTATAATTTAGTACACTTACTCCTAATTTCTACAAGCACTACATTAACTGCAACATATTAGAATAGGAAATTATATATCTTGCATTTGGCTTCATTATACATGTTCTTGAGTTGTGTTACCTTCATGTTTATAATTTAGTACACTTACTCCTAATTTCTACAAGCACTACATTCATAAAAGACTAATCTCATAAGCACAACTACTTATACCGCAGATTAATCAAACTATGAAGCAGTAATAAGAAAAAAAAACATAAAATTTAAGAAGCAAAACATACAAATGCATTAAACATTAAGTAAAATTTGTCATAAAAAATTAAGTAAAAAACATGTACAATTCCATTCAAATTTTCTATAACACAATAATTCTAAGCCACAGAGAATTGCAATTATCATCGTTAAGGAAACAGCAAAACAAAAACCAAAACGAACATTATATACCTTAGTAATGGGTTTCCTCTTCTTGTCAAGCTTCTCCTTTTTGGCCTTAACACGTTGTGCCTCCGCTAAAAGAGACATCCTCTTGGCGGTCTTGGCATATGGGTTCAACTTCAGCATAGCATTCAAGTTCTTAAGTGGGTTCTTCTTCATAGGTGCCCTCTTGATCTCCTTCTTAATTGGCTTCACAACCGACTGAACCTCATCAGAATTAATGATCCTACCCAGATCAGCATTCACCATCTTAGACCGGGGCAGCACATAGCCTTTCTTCTTCTCTGAAGACTTATCGAATGACCCGTAAATCGAGTCAAGCTTCTCGTAAGCCGATTTAGTCCAAATAACGAACCTTCCAAGGTGTCCACCAGGTGCCAGCTTCAACAGATTAAGCCTCTCGACATTGGCAACTTCAACTCCAGGAATGTTACGGAAGGCCTTAACGAGCTTAGCTCCCTCGGTTCCGTAAACAATCAAAGGACCTTTACGGGAAATGTACCTCCGGTTCCTCATTTTCCCTTTTCCGGGTCGGATTCCTTGGCTGTCCTTAGCCTTTTCCACATCAGGATATGCTCCGATCTGTTTCAAAACCTTAATTGCACCTGATGTTTTCTCTACGCTCTCGACGGCATCAGAAATGACCAGGGGCATCTCCGGGACAGCCTCAATGCGGTGGCCTCGTGCCATGACGAGGGAAGGGATGGCAGTAGCGGCGATGGCGGAGGCAACAGCATAACGCTTCTGGTTAACATTGATTTTCCGGTGCCAGCGGCGCCAGATCTTGGTAGGAGCAAACATGCGCCCGCCACGACACATGTTTCCGAAAGCACCTTGGCCTGCACGGTGAGTACCACCTCCAGGAACACGAGGAATACGCGAGACGGCACGACCGGTACCCCAGGATTCAGCTGAGGTCTGGTGACCGGCGCGCTTGGAGACGGCATAGGGTTGACGGCTGTTTTTGGAGATGTTGTCGTGGACGAAGGTGACGATGTCGGGACGGATTGAGGCTTTCATGACATCGGCGAGAGGAACGGTTGGGGTGGCGTCAGTAGCCATGTCGGACTCTATGGTCTGGACGGAGACAAGAGGGCGCGCGGCGGCGGCCATTTTTCAGGGTTTGGGGTCGAAAGGGTGGGTGAAGGGAATGGAGAAAAGAGAGGGGTGCTAGGGTTTGGAGGTGTATGGTTTATTTATACTATGTTTTATTAGGAAATGGGCCAATGAGCCGAATATAAATAAGACTACACTCCGTACATACCTTACTTTATGGACAGCCCGTCCAAATATTTTTAAAAAAAATTAATTGTAAATAAAATGATATAGTAAATGGGGTTGATAATTACTTAAAATATAACTTTGGTTAAATTATCAAAATTAATATGTTTACTCATTGTTTGATCTCTTTTTAAGAGGGTTAAGGTTTGATTCTCTCTAATATCCCTAAAATAAAGCTTTTAAGAGACAAAAATAAATGAATTAAAATTTTTAAGATTTAATAATCGTGGACGATGGTCAAAGATGATGGTGTAATAATGATGAGCCACAATGAGTAATGAAAACTTGGATTAATGGTTGAATTTAATATTTTATCTAAAATTTAAATATTAGATTAATGCTCTATCTAAGTTTCAAGTTCAATAAAAATTAATATTTTTTACTAATGTGTCATGTTATGAAATTAAGAGGAATTAATGGCTCTGTCAGATAGAAAACAAAAATAACCAAAACACAATTTTTTAAAATAGATAACCAACATAAGACGGAGTTAAAAAAATAGGGACCACTCGTGTCATTTACCCTTTAATTTTTATTCCGGTGATATTTTCATATACGAAATTAATTCCGGGAAAAACACAAAACAATTGGCTCATAAACGTTCAGCAACGATTAAAGATACCTGCCTTTCAAATTCAATCCACAACCCAAAGAAAAATATCCATGGCAGAACAACAAACAATCTGAACCCACCACAACTGAAGCCTCACTTCCTTAGCCAAATAATGAAAGATTTCGTCGTCATCCTTGGCAGTTCCTCCATTCCCAACTCTCCGCCACCGCCCAATCTCCGCCACCGCCACCACTCTTCACCTAACAAAATCAACTCGTCTTTCCACAAGCTTTCTCCTTCCGAAAATCAACCTCAACCCATCTCTTCTTCAGTCCCCACCTCCCATTCTCATCAACACCCTTACCCTCCCCTCTCCTCCACCGTCCGATGGAACCCCTCTTCCCGCCGCGACTTCCCGCTCAAGTACTACGCGGACCTTGCCTCGAAGCTGGCGGAGGATGGCCGTCTCGAGGACTTTGCAATGACGGCGGATATGGTCGTTGCTTCAGGTGTTAATGCTTTGCGTTTTGCTTCTATGTTGAGTGTTGAGATTGTTTCTAAAGGGGTTGCTTTGAGTGTTCGAGAAGGGAAAGTTAAAAACGTCGTTGAAGTGTTTAAGAAAGTTGAGAAGCTTGGGGTTGCTCCTCTGAAATTAGTTAATGGCATTGGTTTGGATTCTTTGAAAAGGGAATTTCAAAGGATTTTGGGTTCTGGTGAAGTGGAGGAAGCTGTTGATTTGTTGGAGGCTCTAAGAGGTAACCTTTAACCAAGCATTGTGGATTTGCAGCTTTATTCTCGTTCATGGCCAAAAGAAAATCATAATTCCTTAGAATTAAACAAGATTATATAAAGCACTGATTTTATGATAATTGTTCTTATCATAAACAATTTTGCACCTTGCTATAATATTCTGAGTGCATTTGGAGTTTCTTAGGAGTGCCATATTCTGTACCCATATCGTATTGCATCAATACGGATTTTAACACAGATGCATGAAGAAATAGAGTATGTTGCTATGCAATTTGCTACATAATTAGAATTTTTTTATTAGTTGGAGTGACCACAAAATAGCATCTACGTATAATTTTCTTAATCAATTGACAATGAAAACACACCCTGGCAGACGCAGCTGCTCGAACAACTTAATTATATTCTCAGTGGCTAAACCACTTAATAGAAATATATTTTTTTTTTAATAATCTTTGGGTGTATTGTCCAATGTCCATATAGTTACTCTGTGTTTTACAGGTTCTTTGCATTGCTTGACAGATGTTTTCTCAATTTAGGTTTTCAATTCACAATCAAGGAATTAGTGAATCCATCACACATTGTAAAAATCTGTGTTGATAAGAGAAACCCAAATCTGGCAATAAGGTACTAGTTTTTGCTTCCTTTATGTTTGTTCCCTGTATTTCTCAACTTTATCAAAGCTAGTAAAACATTAGTCAAGTGTAGCTTCAATGATTTCAGAAATCAACTCTGCTAATCCTTAGAATATTTGCATTGAAGGTATGCTTGCCTACTGCCACATGCACGTATAATGTTCTGTAGCATTATATGTGAATTTGGAAAGAGGAGGGATTTGGCATCTGCATTGACAGCATATGAATTGTCCAAGAACATGAGTGGTCCTAATATGTATCTATACCGTGCTATAATCGACACTTGTGGTCTCTGTGGTGATTACATGAAATCTAGAAATATCTACCAGGTATTTACTCGTCTGCATTCAGAAACTGTATGAAATTTTCTTCCAAGTGTCCATTTGTTTGTACTATAATTGTAACTGGCATTATTCAATATGTATGCAGCATGGACAGTTTGATAATCATGTACTCAGAATTCAATGCTTTCCATGCAAAATCATCCCTTGTTTTGTCAAATTTCTAGTTTGATCTTCTGATGAGTTTTGGCTTACTTTTTAAATGAGTATTATTTCAGGAGGACTTAGTCAATCAAAGGGTCTCTCCCAATATATATGTATTCAACAGTCTCATGAATGTCAATGCTCATGATCTGGGATACACATTAGATGTTTACAAGGACATGCAAGTATGCCCATCTCCTTCTCTTTTCTTCTATGGTTAATCTATCTATTATTCATTTTATTAAATCTATTTTTCATGCATAGTACCAAGCATTCTAAACTAGCTCTCAAATTGGGTATTTTGAGATATCTAATTTCTATGTAATTGACCAACTGTTTGCTCGAAATTCTGATGTGTGACTCAAACACATATTGTGGCATATATTTTGCAAAAGATACAATACAAATATAAATATTAATGGGAAGTGTTGATACATGTCTAAGTGTTGTAGATTTGATAATCTAGTATGAATACTTGTGATGGAGATAAACTTTCCCCATTTAAATATTCCATAGTACTACAGCAGATGAAAATTTATGCTGCATCATCTATATTTGCAAAGATAAGATATTAGTTTGTGTTCCTTGCTCAGAATCTTGGTATCGCAGCAGATACGGCATGTTATAACATCCTTTTAAAGGCATGCTGCCTGGCTCACAGAGTTGATTTGGCGCAAGATATTTACAATGAAGTGAAGCATCTAGAGTCAACAGGAGTGTTGAAGTTGGATGCCTTTACTTATTGCACGATCGTTAAGGTACTTCTTCATGCCTACATTACTCAAACTCAAGTGAGTGTCGTATATGGATATTTTTCCACATGGGTATTTCAATTTTTTATAAGTTTTTTGATGATTTGGAAGATCATATCCCCCTACCCATGTCCGAAAATGTGTTGGACATGGATACTTATAGAAAAACAAAGTCGATGCAACATGGCTTGCTGTACTTTCCCAGAAACAATTTCAATTTCTATAACCTGTTCAATGAACCTTTTATGGTCTATTCTTCTCTTGATAATGTATGCATTAGGTCTTTGCAGATGCAAGGTTATGGCAAAAGGCACTGAAAATTAAAGAAGATATGATATCAGCTGGGGTTACCCCTAACACAGTTACATGGTCATCATTGATCAACTCATGTGCCAATGCAGGTCTAGTTGTACAGGCATTTCAATTATTTGAAGAGATGATTCTCTCTAGATGTGAACCTAATTCACAATGTTGCAACGTTCTTCTACATGCCTGTGTCGAGGCTAGCCAGTATGACCGGGCTTTTCGCCTTTTCCGCTCCTGGATGGGAGGCCAGGAGGGCAATATAGATAGTACGTTAAAGCAAGTAAACAATGGAACTTCAGTTTCTACTGTGTCAAACCACATAACTAATTCACATCATCATAGTTTTTTGAAAAAGTTTTCTTTCAAACCTACGACAGCAACATATAATATTTTAATGAAGGCATGTTGTACTGACTACTATCGTGCAAAAGCGATAATGGATGAGATGAAGTCTCTTGGCCTTTCACCAAACCATGTAAGCTGGACGACTTTGATCAATATATGTGGGGGTTCAGGCAATGTAGAAGGTGCAGTTCAGGTTAGGTATCCTTTCATTAAGGAATTTTATCTTATTTTCCTCTTCAATATATGTGGGGGTTCAGGCAATGTAGAAGGTGCAGTTTAGGTTAGGTATCCTTTCATGAAGGAATTTTATCTTATTTTCCTCTTCCATTTATGTTGTTTCTCTAACGTCAGAACTTTCTTACTGCATATTAGTTCACAGATTCCTAACATTGACGCTAGTCCTGTATTTTCTGTTGGCAGAAGTTCTTTACAACTACATACTTTCTCTGATGATGGTTTTTTCTTTTCAGTGCAGATCTTGAAAACAATGCATATGACTGGAATTAAACCGGATGTTGTCGCATATACAACAGCAATGAAGGTACAAAGCTGTCTCACGTATGCAGCAAACTTGGTTGTTCTATGATTGCTACCTTAGATATGCCAATGCTATTTTCTGTCACAATCTCAAATTGATTGTTGTTGGATGATATTTCAAGCTATTTTTGTATCCTAGGTTTGTGTGGAAGGGAAAAGGTTGAAGTTAGCTTTTTCATTATTTGAAGAAATGAAGAGATATCGTGTTCAACCTAATTTGGTAAGTGATATGTAACGACGCCAATCAGTTCAATTTTTTACAAATTAAAAAGATTGAAAGAATGACTAAATCATCTTGCTAACTGTCAGCATATGAGTTCACCTTGTATTACACTAAAGGGCAGTGTCATCAAAATGCTACAATTCTTCTTTCATGTTTTGAGCATTAAAATCTCTTATATGATGCTGGATAAAGAAACATGGAAGTTGGCATTGATTATATGTAGTACGGTTCAGGTACATCCAGTTAATAAATCTTGTGCTTGTTTTTAAAGGTAACGTATAATACACTTTTGAGAGCCCGTAGCAAATACGGTTCCTTACATGAAGTACAGCAGTGCCTAGCTGTGTATCAGGAAATGCGAAAAGCAGGGTATGTTAGCATTTGCTCTCAACTCCTTTTTCTGCATGTGTGGGTGGTAAATTGCAGATTGCCTTGAGAACTCCTGTGTTTCTTAGAGAACATCATTCAATGGTGCTTGCCATATTTTCTGGACCTAATAGGTTGTGGGATTTTAACAATTTTCATTGAAACTTTTTTTTATGATATTGGGGATTCATAATGGTTTTTTAAGCCAGTCTAGGCTAATGTTAATTTGGATTTAGGTGTGAGTGTCCAAAAAATGTGTTTTCAATTTTTTTAAGTTTTCCATGCATTTGGAGGATCTTTGAGGATCATATCTCCATACCCATGTTGAAATATAGGTCAGATAAGGTTTCTGGACATGGGTTTATCAAAAGAAATGAAGAGCAATACCAACACAGGTCTGGGTTATGGCTTGGGTAAAAGATGCTTGTTCTTGAAAATTTTCAAAAGTATAACAAAAGAAAAGCATATTTAATTCATTTATTTCTTAATTCAATCAAATAAAAGTTTCTTTATTGGACCTGTTACCCTCTGATGAAGCTATGGCATAGATTCATTCGTCGTTGCTATGCAAACCATGATAAGATTCAGTCTCTAAGTGGTATCTATTGCAGGTACGAATCCAATGACATTTATCTCAAGGAACTCATTGAAGAATGGTGTGAAGGTGTAATAAAAGAAAACAACCAGAAACAAGAAGGGTTAAGTGCCTGCAAAAGAACTGACCTGGAAAGACCTCACGGTCTACTGCTTGAAAAGATTGCAGTGCACCTGCAGATGAGTACAACAGAAAGCCCGGCTATTGACATTCGCAGACTTACAAAGGTATGATTGATCACTGTTAAATGCTATTGCAAAATGAAGAATAATTGATGTGAATGTTTCCAGTAGAGATAATATCAGATTTAGACCCTATGATTCAAGTAATTCTTAATGTGGTATTTTTACTTTTAAAATGAGCAATTTGATATCTGTATCATCCATTCGGGTGTGAATCGAGTTGATAAGATTAGTACCGATTAATAAGATGATGACATGACATTCAACAAATCATGTAATGACATGACAACATTTTTCCAAATCATTACTGAAAATCATCTTGAGCTACACATTTGACATCCACATGTAATAAACAAGACCATGAGATGGCACCTAAGTGGATTTTTTTGGAAAACAAAAAATTCAGAAATAGATTAGAAGTTATTAGAAACCATCTCCTCCAAATGTTTTCCACCTTACTTTCTCTTTGTGCTATAAAACATCCATAGTGACTGTTCATTCCCAATCTCCCATCACCCAATTTTCTTTCTTAATCGAATCCTCCAGCAAACAAACAACTAAAGACCAAAGGGGAATAAACTAAGAAGAAAGTTCTTTTGGGGTTTTTTATCATGCCTTTCTTCATGATGTTACAAGTAGATTTCAAGTGTGTAACTCGATGATTTTTAGTATGCCACGCATCACTAAGTAATTGGTTGATCTTTATATCATCATTTTCATTTAGAAATATCAAGTTGATGTACTAGATTGACAGAATAATTATATGACTACCACATTGCAAATTTTAGAAGTGCCTCTTTGAAAAGGTTCGTAAGGCATAATGAAAACCAAAGATATCATTATACATTTTCTATATAAATGTCTGTTTGATTGAACCAATAGTCATCTTAAATTAGAGGCCTTGAACCTTGAATTTGATCTTTTCATGATTTGTACTTTCCTGAGACCTAGTTAGATCTCTCATGAGAATCTGTGTAATGGCTACTGACAGGTTGAAGCTCGGATAGTTGTTCTTGCTGTTTTGCGAATGATCAAAGAGAACTACATCCAAGGTAGAAAATATCTTCACTAGCTTGCTTTAACCATTTCAAACATTTTATACCTTTTCTATCAAGCAGATTAATACTACACATGCATGCATCTGACACGTAAAGCTAAATCCACAATTAAATAGTCTGATTATCAAAGTGTCACATTTTGATGATTCTCACTAAATTCTATTGCAGGGCATTCAGTAAAAGATGATATGTTGATAATCCTAGGAGTCGGTGAAAGGTATGAGGAAGCAGCCAATGTAATAATATCCGGGGTGAAAGATGCAGTAATGAAACTTCTGCAGGACGAATTGGGGCTTGAGGTACTACCGGTTGAACCTCGAGTTAAAAAGGACAGATGGGTAGATTTGCAGGCTCCTATTGATGCAAATACGGTTTTATTAGAAGCAGCTGAAAATAACAGTTTATCAGAAAAGCCCTTATCTTCTACCAGGAGACCTGTGATTCTGCAAAGGTTAAAAGTTACAAGGAAATCATTGAATCGTTGGCTCCAGAGAAGGGCAGATTTTATTACGTGAGTGTTTATGTATTAACCTCAATTTTGTGCATTATTTTTTCTACAATAATTTTTTAAATAGATCTAAAAGAGAACAAGAGAGTCACTGTACAAGTATTGTAAGATTGAAGATGAGGTCAACCGTATAGATGTTGTATGACCGAATTTAACTCAAAATTTTATGAAATAAAATGAGGTTATTTTATTTGTCTCTATGGACTACTCTATTTCTAGTCTATCAATTTGGTTGTATATTAATATTTTTCTTCCTATACTAAGCATTTTCTATAATATGAGCAGCTGATGTCTCCAGAAAGATAACTGAGAAACACAAGTTGTATCAAGCGGGATATTGATGCTACCTGCAGTTGTAACCTATAGTCCTAACCCTAAAATTCAAGGTGATCAAGCAAGCCTTTTCAAATGTATATAATTTCTTACAGATTGTTTCCTTTCACAATTTCCTGCATATGGAAGTTGTGAATGCTACTAATCCATACAAGTAAATGAATAACTGAAAGTATATGAAATCCAAAGATTGCTATCATTAAGAAAATAAACATTGAACAAATTTCCAAGTTCCCATACATAATTGTTAAAACAACAAATTGCACAATGCTTGGTTCTTACCACTCCCACTCAAAGCCAGTCCTGCTGCTGCAACTTCAATGGCAAGTAAACCTCAGACAAATATTGAAACCCGAATGAACTCAATGCCTGAATCTCAGCCTTCTGCCTAGTCTTCACCATCAAATTCAACTCCTCAACCCACCCAGGGTTCTTCTTCACAAAATCTTCCTCCAGTAAATCTTTCCCCGTCTTAATATCCTGTTCTGTCATTGGCAACCTACATTGTTCTGGTATCTTATACTTATCCAAATCACTTGGCCTAATCCCCAACCACTTGATATCTGGGGTAGTCAAATTCGCACTGTCATAAGACATGTTCTTCGATCCACAACCGTATACAGACAAAATTTTTAATCCATAAGGATCACTATCAACCAATGCCAACACCGGAAGCTTCAACTCCGTCTTCATTTTCCTCAAAAACAACCTCGTTGCCACATCTGGCTGCCCTTTTGCAGTCACAATTATACAAGGAAACCGATTATAAAACCTATCTTCAGCTAATCTAATATAAGCTGCATCTTTTTCTACCAACAGAATAAATAATGCATCGCTTTGCATATCTCCAACTCGATCAATGTTAGGCGGAATTGCTTTTCCCCCCATTCCCATTTTAGTACAATCAATCATATCTCCATTGTCGCTAAAAATAAGCCTCCCAACGACCACTCCTTTTTCCGCAGCGATTACGTTTAGGCTGGATCGAGTGCAGCCGAGCATACATGAAACATCATCCAAAACAGCGTCGGATTGAATCTGATCTTGGAATAGTTTAACGTCGGTGTAAAAAAGGTCACGCTTGGTGACATGAATGTTTTTGAGACAGAGTTGGTGGACTAAAGAAAGGATTTTGGAGGTAATTGTGGTTTTCCTTACAGAGGAGATGTGGGAGAAAGGGCGAACGGTGGATTTGTCTCTCAAGACGATGCGGTCAAGTTCGGGAACGTAGAGTTGGTTTGAGGAAGAGCGAGACGGGACGGTGAAGGAGAAGCCTTGGCCGGAGAGGATTTGGTGGGCGAGCTGGAGAACGAGGGATTCGATGGCGGATTGGACGGAGGATAGCGAGAGGTCGGATACTTCCCGGCAGGTGGTGGAGAGGGCGAGGTCGGCTAGGGTTAAGGGTTTAGAAGTGGAAGAGGAGGAGAAACAGGTGGTGAAGGATTTGAGAATCTGGAGGATTTGGTCATCGGATTTTAGTAGGTTCTTGAAAGGCTGAGATGCTGACTCGGAGTCTGAGTCGGCACGGCGGCGCTTCTTCTTGTCGGCCATGGAGATGGTCTGTGGAGGGAAGATCTCACGTAAAAGGCGGGAAACTGGGAAATGACGAAATGCAAGGGTTAGGGCTTGCTGAGTGTGACCGTAGGCATATGTAGTTGAGTTCAGAGCACAGACTGAGCGTTTCCCCAGACGGCGCCGTTTCATCGTATAGGTTAAACACTTAAGCCTAATTCTCATTTTATCGCTCTTTACTTTTTTTTTATTTAGTATCTAAACTATCAGTTTTGATTCAATTTAGTACTTAAACTTTTAATTTTTTCAAAATCATACTTAAATATTAGTTTTTATTTTATTTTAGTATCACATTGTTAAAAACTTAAGGCGTTTGGTACCTAAAATATCAGTTTTGATTCGTTTTAGTACCTAAATTTTTATTTTTTTTAAACTTAAGTATGATTTAGGCACTAAATGTGTTTTGGTACCTAGATTTTCATTTTTTTTCAAAACCGAATGGCAGGATACTAAAATGAAATAAAAAGTAAATTTTAGGTGTGATTTTGAAAAAAATTAAAAGTTTAGGTACTAAAAGGATCAAAACTGAGAGTTTGTGTACTAAATGCGTAGTTTACCCTTTTTTGTATAACCATCGGTATTCGATCTACTAATCGACTAATCCAGGTCGAGTATTGCATAAGCAAAGATGGTCCTCTCAATCCAGTTAAGACGATTTAAGACGACCTAATTTAAACATCATTTAAAACGATTTTAACATAAAATGTTACTATGTTAACTTAAAGAGTTGGGTAAAATTTTAATATTTTATTACAATAAAAAGAGAGAGTTTAGGGATTATAACCAAAATATTATGAAAAAAGTAATATATTTTGTTGCATCTTGTCCAACCTAAAATACTACCCTCTTAATAATATTTTAGATTATAATTGATTTTTATCAATTTTTTAATTTTATATTAACCATTATATTTTGGAATTTCCTTTTCTTTCAATCATCTTCTAAATTATTATTTAATTCTCGATTACCTAGGCATAAATTCAGCTTACACACCCAAAAACAAAATATTACAATAACCAATTAATTATCGGCAGTTTTATTGAGTGACCAGGAAATCTAAAGTTAATTTGAGATGTTATTTTAATTTAAAATATTATAATATTTAATTAAAAAATTATATAATTAATAATAATTTCAATTCCAATTAAGAATATGTCATTAGGAAAAATAAAAACGTTTGAGATTCAAACGCAAAATAATATATTTTATTATTTACCTATAATAATTGTTGATATAATCTTTTAAATATAATTTTTTATTTGAGATGTTTCATTATATTTATATGTATTGTACACAAACATAAGCATATGATTCAATTATTAGTATAATTCAATATTAAATAATTTTTAAAAATAATTATATATACTGATATATTTTATGTATATGTTTATTTCATTTTATTTCTTATTTTATTGGGTTTAAAAATTATATTGATAAAAATCACATGTTAATGTCATTTCTCAACTTCTTAAATAATGGTCTTCACAAATTCGTCAAATTCGATGAACTTAAACAGGGAGAAGTAGAAGTGCGCTTCAACTGTAACCGTTGGATGTTTAATGGGAAACGGTACTCACACGTGGCAAGTTATTAGCTATTCATACTAAAAAACAGGTGTACGTGATTATTACCTTGCACCATTCCACGGCAGCAAAAGTGCGACCCGATTCTCTCTCAAAGGTCAAAACTAGAAAAAAGAGAGAGATCCACATAAATTGGAAAATTAGGGTTTCGAGGACCCAAAAAAAAAACAGTACTCTAAAACTCAGCTCAGCAAACCATATTCTATCCCATTCGATGGCGGCTATAACTCGCTTTTTGAAACCCTCGGCTATCTCTCACGCAATGAGATGCTTATATTATGCTTCGGCCGTCGCTGCCGAATCTAATCCACACGCGCCCTCTCTCTTCGGTAACTACAAGATCACGCGCCGAGATCCGAGCGAGAGGAACGTGCAGTGGGTGTTTCTCGGATCTCCAGGCGTCGGTAAAGGAACCTACGCCAACCGCCTCTCGACTCTCCTCGGCATCCCTCACATCTCCACTGGCGATCTCGTCCGTGAAGAACTCGCCTCCTCTGGACCCATAGCTAAACAAGTTCGTACTTTTTTCGCTGATAAAACTTTTATATCTGTTTAAAATCCGTTGTTTATGTAAATTTTCCCGCTGAGATCCGTTAACACTATTACGAGTTTATGAAATTAATTGGTGAGTTTTAAGAGTTTGCTATAGCCTATATTTTCTGATGATATTGTTACTTCATCGCTTGGCTACAGCTAACGGAGATTGTGAACCAAGGGAAATTGGTTTCTGATGAAATTATAATAAGTTTATTATCAAAAATACTTCAAGCTGGGGAGGCTAGTGAATCGGGATTTATTCTTGATGGCTTTCCTCGAACCATAAATCAAGCAGTAAGAATCTAATTCTATTTGTTTGTCCAGATTTCTATTTCTGCTCTATGTCGTTGGCTTAATAGTTTTTTTTAGGAAATATTGGAAGGAGTAACGGACATTGATTTAGTGGTGAATTTGAGGCTTCCGGAGAGTGTCTTGATTGAGAAATGTCTTGGTAGAAGAATTTGTGGTCAATGTGGCTTCAATAAATGTGAAGGGTCAGACCGGCTGCCCCGGAATTAGTATGGCTCCTCTTCTTCCTCCATCAAATTGTATGTCAAAGCTTGTAACTAGATCGGATGATACAGAAAAAGTGGTGAAACAGAGACTCTGGATATACAATGAAAAGGTATCAGTTTGTTCTCTAATCTTGCTTCATGTAAATGTTACTCAAACATGAAAAGTTTCTTGAAATCTACATGCCAAATGATATAGCTAGAACTTAGAATGATTTTCTTGTTCTCCTATGAAATGGGAAATTTGTGTTCTTTATGTGTAACGCACCTTCTCAGCAGGATAGTTGTTGTTTTTACCTTTTGGGATAGGGTGGGAATCTAGATGCTCATACGGTGCCCATACAAAATGGAAGTTTGTATGTTCAGATTCTCTTTACTGCTAATATACTTTCTTCTTTCACCAATAACCATTTGTTGGTGTCCAATTTTGCTCACAGAGTCAGCCTTTGGAGGACTACTACCGCAATCAAGGAAAGTTGATGGAATTCGATTTACCAGGAGGCATCCCTGAATCGTGGCCAAAGTTGTTGGAGGCTCTCAACCTTGATGATTTTGATGAAAGGCAGTCTGTTGCAGCATAAGGTATTACAGACTACTGTAGTTTTATAGGTGAGTCTCTTATTCTTTGCATGCTGGAGTAGCATGCTTATCAATTTT